AAATTAACTGAAATGGTGGCTGCACCTTCAGTCAAGGGCTGTCAAGGGACCTGGGGACTGCATGAACTGGGCACTGGAATGCTAGCAATTTTGCACTGAGTCGTGGGTGGAAGCAGGTTGCCACCTCCTGACTGCTTTCCTCGCTGTGCTCAGCGCCTGCTCCAGCAGTTGGGTGGCCTGTGCCCTCTCGGTTTAGTTCTTCTGCTGGTGCACAGGGCTTGCAGTCTTCTTGGTAAAGTAATCTGCCTGGGAGGCAGGATGTGGACTAACGATTGTGGGAATAGGAAGAACCATCCTTTCCCAAAAGACCATGCAGGAGAGTGCCAGTATCTTGTGGTACTGCTGGCCACGAGGCTTGGTAGAATGGGTCCTCTCTGGAGTAGGCGCCACAGAGGTGGGTGAGGTGGGATGCTGAGAGATGGACACACACCCGAGAAACGGCCACTGTTGACGTGTTTCAGGTGTGGGCGAGATGGACCCCAACGTCTCCGTTCCTCAGAACGGATCTGAAGAGTCGTCCTATGAGTCCCCTGGCTACACGGTTCTGGAGATAATCCCGCTGGTGGTACTCACCGTCACCTTTGTCCTCGGTGTGCTGGGCAACGGGCTGGTCATCTGGGTGGCCGGCTTCCGCATGACGCACACAGTCACCACCATCTGCTACCTGAACCTGGCCTTGGCCGACTTCTCCTTCACGGCCACCCTGCCGTTCCTCATCGTCTCCATGGCCATGAGGGAAAAATGGCCTTTCGGCTGGTTCCTCTGCAAGTTGGTTCACATCGTGGTGGACATTAACCTGTTCGGGAGCGTCTTCCTGATTGCCCTCATTGCTCTGGACCGCTGCATCTGTGTCCTGCACCCGGTCTGGGCCCAGAACCACCGCACCGTGAGTCTGGCCAAGAAGGTGATCGTCGCACCCTGGATTCTAGCCCTCGTTCTCACGTTGCCGGTTTTCATCTTCTTGACTACAGTCAGCGATCCCACAGGGAACGTGTACTGCACCTTCAACTTTAGGTCCTGGGGTGCCACCCTTGAAGAGAGGCTGAATGTGGCCATCACCATGCTGACCATGAGAGGGATCATCCGGTTCATCATAGGCTTCAGCATGCCCATGTCCATCGTCGCCGTCTGCTACGGGCTCATTGCTGCCAAGATCCGCAGGAAGGGCCTGATCCACTCCAGCCGCCCCCTGCGGGTCCTCACTGCCGTGGTGGCCTCCTTCTTCATCTGCTGGTTCCCCTTCCAGCTGGTGGCCCTCCTCAGCACGGTCTGGCTCCAGGAGATGCTGTTCCAGGGTAAATACAAAATCCTCGAGGTCCTGGTCAACCCGACCAGCTCGCTGGCTTTCTTCAACAGCTGCCTCAACCCCATGCTCTACGTCTTCGTGGGCCAGGACTTCCGGGACAGGCTGATCCGCTCCCTGCCGGCCAGTCTGGAGAGGGCCCTGACCGAGGACTCGGCCCAGCCCAGTGACACAGCCACCAACTCTTCCTCGCTCCCTGCAGAGGTTGAGTTACAGCCAAAGTGAGGAGGGGTCTGGGGTAGCCCACCCTGGTCCCAGCTCCAGATTCCTCTTCCCTCCAGCCATGTTCTCACTTACCCTGAAAAAGTCCTTCTGTGTCCCCTGATTTGGGGAAAGAAACAGACAATGGGGTTTTGGTACTCTGGGTGACATTTTAGGTACTTGACCTGCGCCTGTACCCTGGGCTAAGAGGAGGTGGAGAAAGAGTCTAAGGGGGAAGAGAAATGAATTTATAAGGCTTAGATCAGACTAGATACCTCAAGTAAAACTGTGCTATTTCATCATTAAGTAAAATGTTTGCTACAGGCTTTTTGTTCATGTTTTTAAAATATGAGACTATATATGTTCCCTCCTGTGCCTAATTTGCTAAAAATTTCCCCTTTTTAAAAAAAAAAAATCACAAGTGGTTGTTGGATTTTAGGAAATGTGTTTTCTACATATATTAAGATTATATTTTATATCATTTTACCTGATCATAAATTAGATGGATTATGTTTCCCTCCCTTGTTCTCCTGGAATAAAGCATGCTCCATCATGGTTGGCTTTGTGTACTTATAGTCTGTCCCACTGCATTGGTGTGGGCTCTGTGATTGCCACGGTGGCTCTGTTACCTCTGTTACTTCACTTTCCTCTGATGTTCTGGCCATATTTACATCAAGCTTACAAAGGTCTCCTAAAAGGGGGAGGGAAGTAATTCCTATGCTTCTATTTCCTGGTGTCACATTGTTCTTAAATGTTTAGAAAAACTCACTAGTGAATCCAGTAAGCCTTGGGTTTTCTTCCTGGGACGATTTTTAATAACAGGTTCAATTTCTTTAATAGTAATGATTCATTTTTTCCCTCCCTTCTCTTTCAGTTTTGGTAAACTGTAATTTTCAAGGGATGTAGTTGTTTTATCAAAACTGTCAAATAGCATGAAAAAGCATAATTGTATACAGAACTGGACAGGGTTTCTCTCAAACAATGAGAATGTAAAATATACCCAAAGGCAGAGATTTTGGTCGGTCTCTCACTGATGGATCCTCATCCCCTATGTATAAAATAACAACTGTCATGTTGATTGAATGGATCAATATTTATTGAACTAATGGATTAATAAACAGCACTTTCACTTAGGTGGTAAATGAGAACCCTTAATCTCTAATTTAAACAATCTCCAGCTGGGCACAGTGATGCACACCTGCAGTCTCAGCTACTCCGGAGGCTGAGGCTGGAGGATCCAGACCCTATTCCAAAATAAAAAATAAAAAGGCAAAGGACATAACTCAGTGGTGGATCACTTTTGGGTCCCATCCTCATTACCACAAAAATTTGAGTAATTAATTAATTTAATCAAACCCTCTCCAGCCCTTACAACCTGAGTGAGACCAGGTCTGGTGAACCTCTGTCCTCCTGCAGAGGACATTGATAAATGCCCATCTGGCTCTGCATTTTCAGGAGCGCTTCCCATTTTGAGTGTCTGCGTAAGTAAACCGCTCTGGCTCACTGTCACAGGTTGGCTCTGCCTTTAAATAAGTCCACCCGTGACACGTGCTCTTCACATAACTGCTCCAAAGGGACTTTGTTGTGTCATACACTCTCCCCAGGCAGCACTAACAGAAAGGGCTCAAATGAAAGTCAGGCGGGGGGCGGGGGCGGTCATGAGGAGTCCTGCCCTCCACCGCTGTACCGCACCCACGTCTTCTCCCTGTCCTCTGTCAACCCTGAAGCTCCTCACGCTTCCTGGACAGAGCCGCTGGCCCGTTTGGTTGGCTCCTTGACTCCTGTCTAGTCTTTCAAGTTCCCAAGACTTGCAAAATCTTTAATGCCCAGCTAAGATGTGACCACAGAGGAAAAGAAACCAGGGCCATGAAGAATGGCTCCTGCCTCCTGCAGGTGGGAGGGCCTAGGCTTCCACGTGGGCTCCTTGGAAATCCCCTTCATTCCAGGGCAGAGGATTCTCACTCCCTGGGCTTGGTCGACTGCAGTGTAGCTGTGCCAGTCACAGCCTGTCCGTTTGTCTTTCCTTCACTGGAGCTCTCAATGGACGCCCAGTACCCACACCACCATCCTATCCACACACTGGGTGTCTTTGGAAGTTGAGGACTCTTTTTTTTTTTTTTTTAAGTATATATTTTTTTCTTGTGGATGAACACAATACCTTTATTTTATTTTGATGTGGTGCTGAGGGTGGAACCCAGTGCCTCATTTGAGCTAGGTGAGCGCTCTACCACTGAGCCACCACCCCAGCCCTGAAGTTGAGGACTCTTGGGGTCACTATCAGAGAGACACACTCTCAGACCTGATTGAGTCAGAAACTCCAGGATAAAACTTGGAAGTTTGATCCCCAGCACCACAACAAACAAACAAAACCTTTGGGGATGTCTGTCTTGGAAGGGTCTGGACTTCCGGTGTTTGGGGAGAAGAGTGTAGTGAGGAGTAGCCAATGGGTGATCTGTGCAGGGACTCCCCTGCCCACCCAGCATTCACCCTCTTCTTCTCTAACAAAAGCAGGTGTCAACCACCGGGCTACAGTAATGTGTCCCAGCCACCCTCTGTCCAGTGAGAGTGAATTCCAAGCCGTGAGATGCAAGAGCTGGGTCATGCACCACTCGAGGGGCGGCCACGGTCTTTTTGTGTTTTCCTAAGTAGACCCTAGTTTTTAGAGCAGTTCTAGATTCACAGTGTATTTGGCAGAAGATTCAGAAATCTTTCAGGTGCTTCCTGCCCTCTCGCAGCTTGTCCCAGTAGCCACAGCCCCCGCCAGAGGGGTACATGTGCTGCAGGGAGTGAGCCTGCGTTGATGCGTTATTGTCACCTGGAGCCACATCTCATCTCATCAGGATGCCATCCTGTGGGTTTGCAAAGATGAGCAATGACACGTACCACCATTATAGGCCCACGCATAGCAGCCCTAAAGTCCTCTCTGCTCTCCCACTCTGTCCCCCTGTGTCCCTAATCCCTGGTGAGCACCGATCTTTTTCAGGGCTGCGTACCTTCATCTTTTCCTGACTGTCTCAGAATGGGGCATGTAGGCCTTCTGAGATGGGCTTCTTTGCCCTGTGCATTTAAGCTTCCTCTGTGTCTTTTCAAAGTGTGACAGCTCCTTTCTCCTTAGCACTGAAAGCATCCCAGGGTCAGGTGGACCGCAGCTCGCCCAGGGTCTGGAGGACCGCAGCTCGTCCATTCATCTGCTAAGGTCACCTTGGCTGCTTCCCACTTTGGATGATGAACAACGCTGCTTCGAGCACCCACGTATGGGTTTTTGTGTGGACGAGTTTTCGGCTCCTCAGGGTGAATATCCAGCAGCACAACTACGGGGCAGTGCAGTGAGTGTGTGTGTGTGTCACACTGGGGGAGACTGCCAGGCTGCCCCCCGAGTGACTGTACTGGTTCCCGTTCCCACAGACTGCGCCAGGAGCTT